CTAAGCCTTGTACAATTAATGCTGAATGTACTTCATCATTCGTCGGTACCAGTTGGAACCAAGGATGTTTACCCATTTCTTTCAAATGAACGTGATTTAATGTTTCTGGACATCTGGGTAAATATGCATGCCGTGTGCTGCTTCCAGGTGAACAAAACCAAACGCGCTTCACCAGAAGTCTTCTGAATACAAACATGACCCACAGAGTGATTCACCTCCATACTTTTCCGGGATATTACGAGCTACAGATTGTCCATACAAGACCTTAAATAACCATACAAGATCGTTAATGACCATACAAGACCGGGTTTTTTCTTTGCTTGGCCTCAACTAGAGCTATGGCAAAACAATAAGGGCTGTACAAAATGGAACAGATTGTGTGGTTCTTGTACTGTGAAAATACAAAAGCGAATACGAAAGGTGTATAGTATAAGCGGAAATGTATATTTCTGACACAATTGTGACACAAACCACCTCAATTGGGGAGACTGACTCGAAAATCAGGAAAAACACTGCAGCTCGATAATATTTATGTACATCCGAGGTACACACATCATTCTGGTATGATACGTTGATGCCTTGAATACAGTTCCCAGTCACGAAAAGCACACATTAACGATGACATCGGAACAAAAACATGTAACCTGACCAAACTGTCACTTGACAATGCACCACTTGTAAGAAAGCCAGTCACTTTCATTTTGATTTCTGTAAGCTGTTGGTTCCAGGTGACGAATCAGGTGCGATTTCAAGATGAAAAACATTTATCAAATTTATCAAAAATGTTCTCGACTGAGCTCGTCCTATTACATCAATAGCACGCGCCATTGGAAACAAATTACGCAAGCTCCGTTCAAACGGACGTGATATTAATTATATATTAGACATACGCTGGGGGTTATAAAACTTTATAGCCTATCCCAGACAGTCCTATTGATTGCTCGTATATATTGTGGTGCTGTATTGATAGGTAAACGGTTTAACATTACATGTACAATGTTGTTTTCAGTCATCCTTCATGTTGTGACACGAAGCAGTGAAGAGCTGTGTCAGGTAACAGTCAATAGCCATTAAATGTTCTGCCTGGAATATCCAATATTAATCAGTAGCTTGTGAATATTGTAGAGAGATGGGCTTTTAGGATATGTCCACGAATGGTACTAATGTGATTGCAGTATAGTCATTCAACACGCTAGGCAACATGTGAAGCCCATGAAATGCAGCTAAGGCCCTTTGACCTGTGGTTCCTGTATATCCTTAGAAACCAAAAGTATATTATATTGTTTGTCAGAACAAGTAGCTAGAGGCGGCTCTGTCTCAGCGTAAAACGAACTCTGTATGTTGTACTACAGGTTTATGTTGCAACTGATACACAGAGCAACAGTTTCAGGATTCTAATGACGCCATTTATGATGTACACTTCACAATATGAAATTTACCATTTCACAAAATTCGTCTTTAACTTGCTGTTCCTGATTTTACATGTTACCTCTTATATATTTTGTATATGCTTTCACATCTTATGGGGGATTTACGCGATGTACAAATGACATCCTCCTGGAAAAGAAATAAAGAAAGCAAAAGCTTAACAAAAACATTGGGGACGAGAACGGTTACGATAGCAAGGCGTGGGCGGATGGTAGGGCTGAAAATATATTTTATATATTTTCATCGTTTTTCTGATCTCTTTTCTTTGAAAGATCCCCCAAACTCCACCCTATTGCAATAATGTATTTATCCTCAACAATTACCTTTAACCTATAATTATTCCCCCTTCACCAAGCAGAATGTCAAATATTCGATCTGCATCACATGTAAGTTTGAGCGGGTAAGTGTGAGAGGGAGGCTACAGTTCAATATTCTTCAGTAAACATTTAGTTTGATGAAAATATTACAGTCTGTATTTCACACAGCGTTAGGAAAAGAGGACGTGGTGTAGTGGTTAGAGCGTCCGCCCGGAGAGCGGAAGGTCACAGGTTCGATCCCCGGCCGCGTCATACCAAAAGACGTTAAAATATGGTACTTGTTGGTCTCTGCCTGGCGCTGGGTATTAATGGGTACAACAAGGATTGGTCGGTTCGGATTCAGTATAATGTGTCTGATTGGGGTATTCATACTAACTGGGACATAGCGGCCACACATACGCACACATGCACGTCGTGGTGTGAGCGAAATATGTTAAGCCCCATTTCACCTCACCTCACCTAGGAAAAGAGGCAAATCTCGCCGCGAGAACTTGTATAATCACATATTCTCCAAATACATCTGCATCATAATCTTTATTGTCACAAAATGTGATATCAATTACTTCTTCAAATAGACCATGCATCATAAAGATGGGACTCCCCTGGCCAGTAACAGATTCAGTGTTGAACCCATTTCCACCTCATTACAACCAGCCAAAATTTTGTTACAATCAGACATATATATTGGAATATATATTTCCCGATTCAAGCTTTAACATGAAATTCATTTAGTATTAGCGAGATTCGATTTGGACTATTTTGAGATAATGGGGCTATTTGTCCAGATGTGGGTTGTCTTCCTTCACCTTCAGCTTAACTAAATAATCCTTTCAAGGTGTGTTTTTATCCGAAATGAAACTAGAATGCTATGATATATAGACTGGTTCATTGGATATAATTCGACTCGATTTAGTTACAATGATGAAACACTGCCCTCTTCGCTGAAACTGGAACAAAATCTGAGACGAGCAAATCAAACTGCCATTTTCTTGGGCTACGGATGTTTAGTTACCATTGTATGTCAAAGGGAAAGAGTTAAAATGGAAAATACTACATGGACTCGTAAATAAAAGCGTCCCCAAGTCTTGATTATCTCGATCTGAATTGAAAAGGGCAAAAAATCCGGTGATGCCATAATTGAAAGAGTGAAATATGACGTGCAAAACAACCGTCAGTTTTTGCAATACATTTTGAAAGTTTGCCAAGGAAAGCTATATGTGCGTACACATAGAAATTAACGACGACCATAACTGATAGACTGCCAAAACACGTCAGAGAAAAGTCAAGTGACCGACCATTTCATATCCTCGGTTGGGCAGATAGTAGGGCTCAGTATTTGTAAGGAGAACGGATATATTAGGCCAATATCAACTTCTTTAAAAATAACCTACATATGTATTTTCATGACACAAATAGGTTTTACTTAAATGTCTGAAACATAGTTGTTCCCCTTTTTCCCTGCTCGAATATCAAATGAAGTTTGATAATGGAATAACGGAAAATACTTCCGTGACTGGTAAATAAGAAGCGTCTTGACAGACTGACTTTCAGACAGACCTCCTTTCGAAACCAAAAATGTCTAGAGATCGACCATTTGATATCCTTGACTGGGCAGATAGTGTGTCTGAGAATTTGTACGGAGAACAGAGATTTTGAAAAAGACCCTACGTATGGCAAAAATGTATTTTCATGACACAAATACGTTTTACCTAAAGGTCTGCAATACAGTTATTCCCATTTCCCCTGCCCGAATATCAGATGAAGTTTTATCACATGCAACGGTGACTGTCAGAGAAACGCTTAAGTTCAATATCCTTCCGTTGGTATTTAGCTTGATAAAAAACTTCAAGACGCCAAGAAAAACGCAATGATCTCTGTGAGAGCGTGTATAATCGTATTTTCGCCAAATACATCTGCATGACAACCCTAATCAATGCCACAAAATGTGATATCAGTTACTTCTTCAACTGACCAAGCATCATGAAAATGGAATTCCCCTGACAGATTCAATGTTGAAACAAATTCCACCTCATTACAACCAGTCACAGAGTTTGTCACAATCATTTATGTAGAATCAGAACTTCCCGATTCATGCTATGACATATAGTATGACCAGAAATTATTGAGAATTTTAGGAATATGTTTAATTGGATTTCTAGTATAAACAACCTTGACCAGCTATCAAGTGCTTGGTTTTATTCATGAGAGACAACTCCGTTAATCCTTTTTCATTAGTTTGTGAAGAGTTATCCCCCTTTGTTTACTTGCTAGCAGACGACATTTTCAGTGATCCTCAGTATGGATGATTTAGAGAAGGGGAAGTTGATTTTAGAGTATTATAACAAGGACATCAGATCAGCTAAAGTGATTTCAAGTAAAACAGGCATTCCTTTGTCCACTGTTTATCGTGTTTTGAAAAATATTGCAAATGGATATGGCATTGAGCACCAGGGAGGCGCAGGTAGGCCTAGAAAATTAACTGTCGGTGACAGGAGGCGCCTTGGTATTCTTGTTTTCTAAAAACAAACGAAAGAGTTTAGAAAACGTAACGCTGGATATGATTGATAGAGGAACTGTGGTTGTCTGTAAGGAGACAATTAGAACTGATCTGTATGCAATGGGTTGGCAGAAAAGTCGAGGAATTCCATTACCGATCATGAAACCTGAACAAAAAGGAGCGAAGGTTGAACTGGTGCTTACAGCATAGAAATTTTAACTGGGACAATGTGATTTTCTCAGATGAAAGTTCTGTGTGGCTGTTTCCTAATACACTGAAATTCTGGACCAAACAAACTGAAAAACTATTGTATCAGCACCCAAAGTACAGTCCGAAATTTAACGTGTGGGGTGGAATATCTGTGTTAGGGGCAACGTCCCTCTGTGTATTTGAAGGGAATATGAACAGTGAGCGGTACACAGATATTCTCGGGGGACATTTACTTCCATCTGCTCACGTTTTTTATGGAAATGTTTGGATTTTCCAGCTGGACAACGACCCAAAACAGCGTTCAAAGCATTCACAGGCCTGGTTTCGGACCCAAAAAATGACATTATTAGATTGGCCAAGCTATAGCTCTGACCTAAATCCAATAGAAAATGTTTGGGGACTTATGAAGGAAAGTTTCAATAAGAAAAATCTGACAAATATTGCTGAAATGAAAGAAGAGGTGGTCCGATATTGGGACAGCATGGACCACGACTTTCTAACTTCTTTGATCAGTAGTATGCCCCGCCACATTGAAGCCTGCATTGCTGCCCATGGTGCCTTGACAAAATACTAACTGTTCACCTGTCTTTGAATCTGGAGTTATGTTCTACTAATATTCATGTTTAATACGTGAGTAATGAGTGAAATGTTTTTTAAAAATTACAATCTTAAATTCTCGTTAATTTCTGGTTGTACCGTAAAATCCATTTCCTGTTACGTGAATCGACTTAGGCTATTTTGAAATAATTGTTTTATTTGTCCAATAGGGGATCATCTTCTTTCATCTTTAGCTAAACAAAACGATCCTTTCAAATTCTTTTCACTCTGAAATATAAAGTGCTGTGTTATAAACTGGTACCGAGCAAGATATTTCTCAGGATACAAGCGACTCGATTAGTTCCTATTATCAGTCACTGCCCTCCTTGCTGAAAGTTGAATCATGTAGGTTTTTAGACAAGCAGTAATATCTTCTAAGAATTACGGATTTCAGTTATCACGGTATGTCAGTGGCCAAGAATTATTTTAGAAAGTAGTTTGGGCATTGGTAAAATAATCGCCCCCAAGTCTTGACTGAGTAGCTGTGAAATGCCAAAAAGAGGCAAAACATCCAGTGAAGCCGCAACCACAGAATTCGAAATTTTGAGCGTGAAAACAGTGGGTTCTTTCTGATACATTGGGTAGACTGCTATCTCAAAGTCGATACTGGACTGCATGAATGTTATTGATTCATAAAAGACTGGAAAGTTAGAAAGGATAACTACTGCAGAGACAAATAAAGATGTGGTGCAGTCACAAATTGAAAATATCAAGGTTTCATTCCAAACAGCTTTGAAAAGTCCTGTATAATCTGTTAATGAAAATTTGAGAATAGCTGGAGCTTTCAGACGAAATTGGAAGCCGCTTTCAAATATAATTGGACATAAATGGTTGTACAGAGTAAACACGAGAACCTTCTCTGAAGCTGGTCAGAACTGGAAAGGAAATCGAACTGCTTATCAGCATCCATTGTGCAGAAATACGTTGATCTTAAAGGAGAGCAAATGGGCTTCTTGAATACAAACAGACGCTGCTGTCCTATTTTTGTTCTTAAACAGAAACTGTACGCAATCTTGTTCTCAGGGAAAACGTGTTTAGGCAAATTAGGAAGATGTAAGTAAATGAGTGATGTAAAAAGAATGATAATTCGTCTCTTACGAATTGTTGTGATCGCGGTTGGTTCTCTTGTCTTCCTGCGTTTCGGCTCTAATTTGATTTTAATTAATGTTCTAATCTCGTATTTCGTTCTGTGATCTGACCAAATCTTTGGGTTTAATGATATTGTAATTCATCTGCATTTGTTGTAATTTATGTTGTAATCTTGCTGATACATTGCAGTATTTCGTGCTCTTGCTGTAATCATGCGCTTATCATGCTGCTGTGAATATTCCTCAATCTTATCCCAGTCTTGCTGTAATTGTGTGTTCGTATCCTTATCAATTTATTGCATGTCAAGTCTTCTAAACTCTGCGATACATTCACCATGCTATCCAGTAGATCCGGGGGAATAGCAATTAATTCGACTTCGATTTCAGTTTGTCATTAAATCTTTGCCAGACAAATGTTTCACTTTTTTTCACTTTGATTACAGCCCAAATCGTTAAGGATTACAGAGTTTTTATATAATACGATGTACAAAACGCAGATAGACACGAGAATTGCATTGTTTCTATTCCATGCATTTATAGTGTTTCTGGTTGAATACTGCGTACAAGCCCACTTCAAAACTTAGACCAACGTAATGTGATCGACAATCATGGGGATTAGTGTTTAGCCCATTCTGATGTGTCGTCAACTGGGGACAGGGTAGTCAACATGGATTGCAGCTGAACTCCCCTTGATGTCAGTCACGATTGTTTAACCATCGCTTCTGCGCCCATAGTTGACTTTTACTCTCCCCTCAGTGATCACCGTTGTTCAGACACCATTGTGCCAGCAGGTCACCAGGTCATTGCTTCCATCTGACAGCCGTGAAATGCCCTTCCACTATCAGAGGAACAGGTTCAATTAAGCAAAGGCTGGAGTGAGTGTGCTGCATTGAGAATGCCTTAATCGACGGACCTTGTCTTCTAATAGACTTGGATGAACATGTTTGACATTAACGAGAGCATCGTTATGTCTTCATTGCCGCTCGTTAATCAGTCTCCATGTTATTGTTTGTCTGGTGCTTACAAACAAAACAACATGCCGGTTTTCAAAGATGGCTTTTGTCGATGAAGACTATGTACACATCGATGAGGTATTCAGCGAAACTGCTTCAATATCTGGATATCAATGTGGACGAATATGTGTCCTATCGCAAGTGGAACGATTCTTATCATATTATCGAACCACAACCCTTTCCCCCACTGTTTGTTATGCGAACGAGTTCATCAACCATTGCAGTGGTCCAGTGTCTACCAGAACGTTGCTGACTGGTGGGAAAGGGGTCGATGCAACGAAGCTAAGGACATCAATGCTTGATGCAGACACAAAAACGTTTAGCCTCAGTCACTCCTCTCTGGGACATGTTCAATAGAAAATGTGATCAGAAGCTTCTGTGTACTATCCATTATGATATATCTAATCCAGAAGCACCAATGTCAATTGGTAATTGCTCCCAGAGGGATCTGGTAATTGCACACTTTGGTCATTTCTGAAGGGATTTCAGTAGTAAATGGAAAATTGAGCCAAATTGCTTGCCACAGGTCCAAGACGATACATTGAGGGTCAAGTGTAAGACGAGAAAGTTAGTGGATATCACTCAGAATTCACGATGTGATAATGAAGGTGCCTGTTAGACTACAAAGTGAACTTATTATCAAAGGTTACGACTGGAATAGCCTACGTTAATCGAGACTTTCCTGTATGAAAAGCCGTAAAAAGTCTAGCGTGTGGTGATCCCAGGGGAGACTCCACGACACTTGATGGTCAGAGAATGATGCTTTGTGATCTTGTATCCCTTCTCTACCGTTATATGAATATAGAACATTATTTTAGAGATGTTTCTAAATATATATTTATTTATTTAGTTGTGTATTGTTAAAAAAATTATTATTTTAATAATAGACCCGGGTTCGATTCCCAAATTGGAACATTGTGTGAAGCCAATTTCTGGTAAAACTACACTCACTCATTCACTCACTCACTCACTCATCACCATCATTGCAATCATCATCACAAATATCATCATCTATGACCTTATCACCTTGTATATACCGCTGGATGTGTCGTGATCCACATGTACCATTCTTCCCCCATAAGTAATATCTACATTTCCGGGGTCTCGGCTTGTCCAGATGTCAAAGACGTCACATTTCACAATGCAGGGTTAGGTTGTTTGGGCTTGCTAGAAACCAAAACCGCGGGTTTAATTCCAGTGTCATCCTGTTGCTGTTTCCTGGTGTGTCAGTCCAACCCACGGGTGTCAACATAGTGGTAAACGTCAAAGACCAACTAACTCACTCACTCACTCACTCTTAAGGAACGATTATTAACATGCTTAAAACATCAGCACTTTGTTTTATAACAATCCTTCATTATTTAAACTCCGAACCTCAGATGTTTTTGTGGTTTACAGAGTTTTAACTTTAGCTTAACAAATGCTCATCTTCAGTCACGTCATCAACAGAGTAAATGGCAACTTTTAATTAAATTGTCATGGAAGTTTTGCAAAAGTCGCAAAAAGGTATTTGTTTCGACGCTTTCACTTGTCTGTTTCGTGTTAATTTTGTTTATGACCAGGTGCCTTTGTCAACTTTGTTTTTTACAGTTGTATGTTTTTCTGTACACATACGCATATATCTTACACGCAAAGTCAGACATGCAGTAAGTCGATGTGTAACGTGTAAGGAATGAATAGATTTTAGGAGAAAACAACTAGTCCGTTTACATTGTAACATGCCTAGGACTAACAGACCAGTTGTGTCGAATCCTGATAAATTAGCGTCTAGTCCCTCATCTCTGCGCCCAAATCTAAAATAATTTTTATCAAATAAACGTGAAAAATGGTTTATGCTAAGTGGGAATGAATAAAATGACGTTTCTGATTTATTACGATACCATCACATCTTCATTGACAGTAAACTTGGATCATGTCGCTCGAAAGATACAGCTCAGCGGAATCGTCATGAATATTCATATTGTATGATCATTTGTTTTGTTACTTTGTTTGTAGTTTAATTCAGCTGTATGGCGATGGTCTGTAAATAATAGAGACTGGACCAGACAGTCCAGTGATTGACTTGAGTATCGATCTACACTGTTGGTCAATGGTCTTCTCCATACCAGGTGCTCATGTCCTTTAATCTTTTGACCAATTCTAGGGAGCAATCAAATAGGAGCAACGGTTTTTAAAAGTAATCAAGAATATATTTTCGAAATAGTTTTGCCTCCCGTTTTATAATAGTAATAATTGTGCATTATACGTACTGTATATCTTGAAACTGTGTTAAGTTGCCCTCCAAATCATTAGATACTTTCCCTGTAGACAGAGTCATTTCTTTAAGCGATTACCGGAAACTAACATGTCACCCACTCCATAATCTTCCTCGTACATACTGTAGTTTTGTTAATGATGCAGACCCGTGAAGGTCGGGGTTAGACTTGATCTTCAGTAACCCAATGCTTGTCGTAAGAGGCGACTAACGGGGTCGGTGGTCAGGCTCGATGACTTGGTTGACGCATGTCATCGGTTCCCAATTGCGCAGATTGATGCTCATGCTGTTGATCACTGGATTGTCTGATTCAGACTCTATTATTTACAGACCGCCGCCATATAGCTGGAATATTGCTGAGTGCGGCGTAAAACTAAACTCACTCATCGTTAATGATGCAATGAAGGGTGGTAACTTGATCATCAGGATGTAGTAGCTTCACATGGCAGACGGAATCAAGGGTGACACTAATTCTTCGCTCTTCTTAATCTTGAAATGATGCTTGCATAATGATGCTCATGCTGTTCGTCACTGGATTGTCTGGTCCAAACTCCATTATTTTGAGACCGCTTGAATACTGCTGATTGCGGGTTAAACAACAAACAAACTGAAAAAAGCATTATTTGTCCATTTTTAGCGTCACTGACATCTCTACAATAAGTACAAGGACAGATCACCCCTCTCTCCCGAAAAAGATTTCCCTGAGGATCATTTCCCCCTAGCCTTTGGACTTCATGATTGATGTGCACACACCCTTCTCCAAAATCCTGGATGCGCCCTGAAGTACCTTGTGTACTTAACCCTAACATATCGTGCTGAAAGGCTATACGCACGCACAGACATACAACAAATTCCGGTCACCGATTCATCGATGATTGGTTTGAATTTCCTAACACGGCAGTCGAATGATGTTCCAACGTATTTTCCAAAGCTCTAATCTTCGACTGCTACAAATGAAACACCCAGGTGCATCCAGCGATAACGACTGCTCCCAGTTATCTTCCCATAGTAATACCTTCCTACTGTGATAGCATAGATACCAGTCACTCAGCAGAATATTGATCGGCCATTGATTAAGTGCCATTGCCGCTTTAGAACAAGTCCCAGGAAGCTCTTTGGTCAAGGGCTTTAACCCTGCACTCAGTAGAACATTCCGCTGACGGAGAATATGAATATTCCATACTTGTTTGATGAATGGTAAGATGGAAAGTCATTCATCTAAATTGCAAAACGTTTGTTTCTAAAATATTCTGTATGCTTATGTACATTCTATTTGCCATTTTGAAATTCACGAGGCTACAATACAGATATACGAGTCCCAAATTTACCCTAATAGTAATTCATACGGAGTAAGGTAAAACCGAGAAATAATCGAGTCACCAACCGATGAAGGGTAACTGTTCATGGCATAATCAGCTACGTGAAAAGAAAGGGCGTGTTTTGGAAGTTAAGAACCAAGAAAGAAAAGTATCGATATTAGCTCGGTTGAGTTCGGTAACTCAATTTGTGAATGGCGAAAACATCGAAGTACAAAAATGAAGATTGGAGTAATCAAATTGATATCTATTGGTAGGGGAAAAGAAGCTGAGGAGACCGATTGATCGGAGGGTTCCAGAACATCGTTTGTTGGGGTCAGAGTTTATTGAGTAAAATGTGGGTACCGGTACGTTTGTTGCGTTGATTTTCTGGCGTATATGAGACTGAAGATGCAGTAATAACGGGCAAAATTTGCTCTATGCCCCAGCTCTTGAAGGCCAGTTGAATGTTTTGAACCACATTCACACCAAACCACACAAGGATCAACCAGAGCCAATGGATATGTATATAGATATTTTCCATATGGTTGGTGTGAAGAATGGGGCTGAGGTCCTATGTTGTAGGCAACCGATCCTCAGCCTCTTCTGTCCATAATCCCCCAGTTTCAGGATACCAGGAATCTTTTCTTTCCAGGGATACCAACATAACAAGAGGCATCGGGTACAGGAGTTCATTCATGACCAGGGATACCAAATGAAAATAATCATAAGGTACCAGAGTTTTGTCCTGTCTTGGGATACCCTCATAGAGAGAGGCATCGGATATCAGGCTTCTCTTATGCACAGGGATACCAAATGAAAATAATCATAAGGTACCAGGGTTTTGTCCTGTCTTGGGATACCCTCATAGAGAGAGGCATCGGATATCAGGCTTCTCTTATGCACAGGGATACCAAATGAAAATAATCATAAGGTACCAGGGTTTTGTCCTGTCTTGGGATACCCTCATAGAGAGAGGCATCGGATATCAGGCTTCTCTTATGCACAGGGATACCAAATGAAAATAATCATAAGGTACCAGGGTTTTGTCCTGTCTTGGGATACCCTCATAGAGAGGCATCGGATATCAGGCTTCTCTTATGCACAGGGATACCAAATGAAAATAATCATAAGGTACCAGGGTTTTGTCCTGTCTTGGGATACCCTCATAGAGAGAGGCATCGGATATCAGGCTTCTCTTATGCACAGGGATACCAAATGAAAATAATCATAAGGTACCAGGGTTTTGTCCTGTCTTGGGATACCCTCATAGAGAGAGGCATCGGATATCAGGCTTCTCTTATGCACAGGGATACCAAATGAAAATAATCATAAGGTACCAGGGTTTTGTCCTGTCTTGGGATACCCTCATAGAGAGAGGCATCGGATATCAGGCTTCTCTTATGCACAGGGATACCAAATGAAAATAATCATAAGGTACCAGGGTTTTGTCCTGTCTTGGGATACCCTCATAGAGAGAGGCATCGGATATCAGGCTTCTCCCTATGCACAGGGATACCAAATGAAAATAATCATAAGGTACCAGGGTTTTGTCCTGTCTTGGGATACCCTCATAGAGAGAGGCATCGGATATCAGGCTTCTCTTATGCACAGGGATACCAAATGAAAATAATCATAAGGTACCAGGGTTTTGTCCTGTCTTGGGATACCCTCATAGAGAGAGGCATCGGATATCAGGGATCTCTTATGCACAGGGATACCAAATGAAAATAATCATAAGGTACCAGGGTTTTGTCCTGTCTTGGGATACCCTCATAGAGAGAGGCATCGGATATCAGGGATCTCTTATGCCTAGGGATAGCACATGTAAAGAATCATAAGGTAAAAAGGATACCCAATGGAGAGAGGTATCGGATACCATGGTTCTGTACCGGATTCCTTCACAAAGAGAGAATTATAGAGAACCAATGGAGGCAAACACTGGGTACTGAGAATCTGTAATGCCCCAGGGCCCCCACGGGGACAAGATCATTTGGTACTGGCTACCTTCAACGCTCTGGGAAACGTCTATAGCAAGTATCACGCCAGTTTCCTGCAGCATCAGGCAGATACTCCACGACATGACGGAGTTACCGTTCAAAGTAGCACTGAATCTCTCACTCCCATACAGAGACAGTTTCAAGGCAATATATGGGGACTTTTACACTTGTGAAGAAAGTATTAATCCGTCTGAAGCGTCCATGACATAAAAAAATTGTCTGTTGACATGGCTTCAAAGCCTACAAATTGACAAGGATAAAAGCGCCAATATGGCGAACATAAGCTCCTGGGCTGATCATAGGCTGAAGGCATTACTGCTAATCTTTGTTCTTTTTATTGAAAACTTCAGTGGCAAGTGGAGCTCGGTGATCACTGAATGTCTCTTTTGAAAGCCATTTGCTGAGCCTTCCTCACTTGACACGGTTTAAGATGAATGAGTGAGTAAATAGTGTTTTGACCGAGCTTGGAGAATGAACCAGTGCCTGCTATCGGTAAATACCATGAGATGAAGCGCAAATCCATAATTATAAGAACCTTATCAGATATGTCCACTGACCAATAGTGACTGCATCATGAGCAGTTCAATTAATGGTGATAATAGGTGTTCACGAAAACATGTCAGTTACACTATCCTGATCCAGTGGGCATGGTGATGCTTATGGAAATGCCACGATCATCACTTTGTTCAGAGGGCATCAAATCTAAATTCTCCTCCCCATGTCTTTCCTGACAATATGTAAAATATGAATTCTTGTATCCTTGATACTGTACCGAGTCCGGACGATGTTACCAAAGACGAGTGAGTGAGTGAGTGAGTGAGTGAGTGAGTGAGTGAGTGAGTGAGTGAGTGAGTGAGTGAGTGAGTGAGTGAGTGAGTGAGTGAGTGAGTGAGTGAGTGAGTGAGTGAGTGAGTGAGTGAGTGAGTGAGTGAGTGAGTGAGTGAGTGAGTGAGTGAGTGAGTGAGTACACTGTCGCATAAAAAAATGAAACAAATGGAAATCTTGTTTTCAACTTCGGCAAATATCAGGGGAATTTTAGGGGGAAATCGTAGTTAGATTATGATACAAATACCTATGACACAGATGACGTTCTATTATGCCAGTGGCACTGACCCGGTTAAACTAGGTCAGTCTTCACCAGCTACTCTGGTCAGACCCTCTATGGATAGCTGGTTAGAACTGACTGACTGACTGAGTTTGGTTTTACGCCGCTTTTAGCAATATTCCAGCAATATCACTGCGGGAGACACCAGAAATGGGCTTCACATATTGTACCCATATTGGGGATGGAACCCGGATGCTGGGTTAGACGAGCGAATGCTTTAACCACCAAATGAACACGATATGTTAAGGGCCCTTCTTAGAAAAAACATAAAAAGAATTTAAAGGAAATTAAACGAAATATAAAGCAACATTAAAATAGGTATCTTGAAGAAAACAATATAATAGCAAAGAAAACAAACAGAACTCATCCAGTGTGTTCAAATAATCGAGACTGAGAACTCTTGCATGTTCTTTACACTTACATCACCAAATGGAAATACAACAAAGGTGTCAGAGCTGCTGGTTTGAAGGCTTTAGTGAAGCACCTGCTCAATATTGTAACATGAGCAAGTTTTACATCCAACTTGAATCTTTTCCGGGGATATAGGTAAAAACCAACCCAAGCATGTGGCAAAAGCATGTATCTTCAACAACCCGTTCTGCTCGTAGATTTCGACTTATGGGATTGGGTGGACAGGTTCGCTATCCTTTTGGATCAATGTCATAGTATCATAATTGCCGAGGTCGATGTGCATGATGTCAATCACTGGATCTTCTGGTCCATACTTCTCTATTTGACAGTCGTCATATGGGTTTAAAGTTGCTGAGTGTGGCATTAAACAACTATGTATAACGTTGAGCCTGGTGTCGACGGTGATCACAGATGTCCGGATACTCTGTGGTATAAAATGGGCGCCAGCAACATGTAATCTTTTAATTTCTTTATTAAGCAATCTTTTTTTCCAGTGCTGGTGTCATATTATAGAATAGCCAGTTTTATAATCAGGTTTATCAAATTAACTACAGATATTGCACAGTGTTGATGCAAGCATGCAAGGGAAGTCACCAAGAGTTTTATCAGGCGACATCTGAGAGCCACGTGTAAGGGAGCGTGAATCTAAACATAATGACCATGGTAAAATTTTCCAACTTGATGGCTTTTCTATTCCCAAGTCTTGTCTTTATTTCAGTAATTAAGTGTTCAGCCAAAACATGCTTTCAATATTCCATAAAATCCGCGGTGGATCTGGTGCTTTTAGCACATTACGTTTGATTACCCAGTAAAACATTGCATTCTCCATCAAATTAACCAACATCGGCATCAATCATAGAAGACAAACCTTCTGGTAATTGCACTGTTACGAACAATTAATTTAGTATGGTAATAAATAAAGACAAAGACAACATACACGTGACATAAATGGCTTGATTCATTGATAACTCGACCACAGCTGTGTATGCAACTAAAGCCCTGAGAAGAGGTGGGCTCGGAGTAGACTGCAGCAAATAGAAGCGACAAAACCCTTTCCACATCCATAAGTGAGTGAATGAGTTTAGTTTTACGCCGCTTTTAGCAATATTCCAGCAATATCACGGCGAGGGACACCAGAAATGGGCTTCACATATAGTACCTATGTGGGGAACCGAACCCGGGTCTTCCGTGTAACGGGCGAACGCTTTAACCACAAGGCTACCCAACTGCCCCTCCACATCCATAAGAAATCTATCCTAAAAGCAGAGTCGATTGTACAATTGTGATTATATCATGAGTACATATTTGTTTCAGCAGTATTACAGCTTTATGATGTTGTTTGTAAACAAATCGAATCTGGACCAGACAATCCAGTGATTGTCGAACTCCTCCGTGTTGTAGTGGTTAGAGCGTCCGCCCGGAGAGCGGAAGGTCGCGGGTTCGATCCCCGACTGCGTCATACCAAAAGACGTGAAAATATGGTACTTGTTGGTCCCTGCCTGGCGCTCAGCATTAATGGGTACAACAAGGACTGGTCGGCTCGGAGTCAGTATAATGTGTCTGAGTGGGGTATTCATGCTTCACTGCGGCATGGTATCTCAGTGGGCTAGCACTATAAAACCAGCTTAAGTCTGGGCTAGTACAAGCAGCGGCACATACACATATACACCCACATGCACGTCGTCATATGAGCGAAATATTCTCAAGCACGACGTTAAACCCAATTTCACCTCACCTCACTTCAGTGATTGTCACCATACGATACGATGACAGAGCATGTGTTTATGAATCACTATCAAATAGTGATGATACCAGGTGTTCGCGAAAAGGTGAGCGTATCCTGCCCAACGAGTGGCACCCGTCATAAACATATGCTACGTACAGTCAATTGTTCACCTGAAATAATTCGGGAACGTATGGTATAAGTCAAAATAAGGAATTGCAACTAGTGGCGAGACGATTCTTCGATACGCATCGATGCATCGATTCATGAGCCGCCGATACAGTGAATCGATACAAAGTTTTACATTGTCGTATATCCCGATACGATACTACTAATGGGCCACAATACATCAATGTTTAACTTTGAAGATTGCCGAATCGCGATATCAGTCAAGAAAAAAGGCTTACTTTTGTTTGACGATTAAAATATATGCTTACTTATTTTCCCTTCGTAGGTAAACGTTTTCTCAGAAATTCTTGTGTCAAAAACTGTGTCATACATAGCGCTCGCACGATATCAACATTCACAAAGTCCGTGTATAAACTTAATTATCTCGCTTCCGAATGAACATTGAAACAACGCGGAATTTGACGAAATACTTTAAACTTGGTTTTGTGTTAATCTTAAGGTATTGTATAGTTGGTGTTAGAATTAAAGATTTTAGTATCGTGATACGTATCGTATCGCTACCCTTATATCGGGATTTGTATCGTATCGCAGCTTCAGTGCACAATACTTTGGCAATATATCGTCGTGACTAAAGTTTTAGTATCGTAATGTATCGTATCGCATGTTGTATACCAATACCGGCACTAATTGCAACCCATGCTTGTTGTAAGAGGCGACTAACGGGATCGGGTGGTCAGGCTCGCTGAGTTGGTTGACACATGTCATCGGTTCCCAATTGCGCAGATCGATTCTCATGATATAGGACGATGCTTACGATATCTATCACTGGACTGACTCGATTTTATCCACACGCAATTTTATTCGCCGTCGTGTAGCTGGAATATTGCTAAGTGCGGCAAACAAAACACCAAAAGCATTTCACACTTCTCGTTAAGGCAGACCAGGGTAGCTGGTAGCCATTCTTATGATGCAACAGCATCCTACACTTAACCTTTCATTCCGATGTTCATATCTATTAAAAAGTCTTGGAATTAAAGCAATGCGCCATAGCACAGAAATCTATTGCCATAATTCGAATTAATTTGAACCTATTCACTGGTCAAATTTAAGGACTGCTAACGACACACCATACATTAACGATTAACGCTAACTCCCCTACGGGGTTTAAGTTGATAAAGCTATAAGTTTCCATGGAGCCTTTGGTCATCGTCTTCAACCCACCAACAACACGGGGTATTTTACATCTTATAATGAAAGGATAGTAATCTTGGTTGTTTCTAGAATGATCACATAACCGGTGTGGCATCTTCAGTGAATTCCCTGTGCTGTATATACCTGGGAAATAATTAAATATTACGTATTAATATACATGTCTGTATAAAATAACCATTTCTTAAAAAAAGCGTAACCTGTATGTATTTTCTGAGGAAACACATTCACAGTGTTTGTCATGTTGAGATACTAAAACCAGTTTACCATGGTTTATGACTAATCCATGGCGCTCGTTATTTAGGCAGCATCATTGTCCTTCTTTTCTTGGTTTTCTCGCAAATATGAGATAACCCATCCGCCCGTCATATAACCCATGGGACATTCTAAAACATTACCTGATACTATTTTTCCGTGTATGGAGTTATAAACGTGAAAATCGGTATGCGTATCGGATTGACGTAAAACTTACGCATCGATTTTTGCGTTTATGATTCTATAAACGCCCAAAACGCTGAAGTCAATTCTCATAAATAAATACCCCTACGACAATAACTTCAAAGACCGCTTATTTAATAATCATAAACAGCTATACGAAACATCGCCCAGAGCAATAATACTAGTACACAGAAAACAGTCCATTCTTATATTAACCAATCAAGTAACACTAGAGGTCGTGACCTAGTTATTTTTTGGTTTAAGGAAACAAAACGCAAAATAAGTTGCTTGGTAATCCAAACAAATGTTGCAACTAATTTTTCTGGCAGACAATGATTTTATTACAGTCTCACTTGTGTACATACATTTGAATGATACATATATAAAAAATAATACACAAAGGGTAAAAGTACACAACCAATCACTTAGTGACTTATGAGAGACTAAAAACTAGTAAATACATAGATATATATAGAAATATGAATATATGTACATATGTAAACAGGCTGCTAACAGGCATAAAAGTAAAACAGTATAATTAGGGATATAAAAGGTGAATAAAAGATAAGATTGCAGGTTCTGGCAGTGTGTAAGACAAGATTACAATCACTAAAAAGTACATAAAACTTTAAATCATCATTAAGGTCTGACGGTGACTTGTCAATAACCAAGCCTTGCCTAGACAGGTCAGTGATATATTAAGTGTGCAAAGACCCTCCCCATGTATTTTTGAAAAATCATATAAAATTACATGTTATGATATTTATATGTCAATAAACAGTTCATCGTGCACCTATTATCTCTTGTACTTTTATTCAACTTGATCTTAAGCCTAATTAAGCCTAACTAGTCGGACTAGTCCATCCAGTGCACTTGAGGTACGGCAAAGGGGATTAGCTGTGCACTGGACCATGTATTTTGTTGCTTTAGTCTGTAGAAGTTTTGGAATGTAGAAGTTTTGGCAGGACACCATGACATCCATTCAACCAAGCGGCAAGGTCGACCACCCTAACCAATTCTAACTCGGTATCTTCTACGGAGAGTTTTGAAAAATGGTATGCTGTCATTTAGACAGCGTTCTGGACGGTACCTTAGAGTACAGCAACTCTGTGGACCTTAATACAATATTAGGAGTTGGAGAATCTTTTGGAGTCTTTTTTATGTATGTAAAGGGAGCTAATTCTTGCCTAGCACCTCACATTACATCTCAAGTTACAGGAAGACCAGTTGTTGTGGGGAGATCATTCTTACCCAGGACACTCATCCCAGGTCTGTCTTCCTTGTTATGATCACTGCTTTTGTATTATCCTCTGCCGCTCTACTTTGTACTTGAAGATGCCACACCGTTTAGATGATAATTTCAGAAACGGCCGAGACTACTGTCCTTTGCTTTAAAGATGTAATACCTTTGTAGTGATTTGTATTAATTTGTAAACTAGGTTAATCTTAGGATACAATTATTAATTATATCACATTGTTTTGTTATTTGTTGACTTCACACCGACTATTTAAGAAATACAGTTCGCTCTACCACCATGTATAGTGTAATAAAACACACTTTCGCCCTGAACTATTATAGTTAAAGTACGAGGACGCTTGGCGGGATGCAACGGAGTAGTTTACTGTAGGAGGCCGTACGAGGCGTGACGTCGCTTACATTGTGACGTAATGTAAAATGGTTCGATTACGAGGGGGCACACTAGAATGGCGCAGTGACGGGATAACGTCATTCAATTGTTACGTCATCAATAAACCATACCTTTATTGTCTGATAATGTTTGGGTTTTGATCTAAGCGCTAGGCATCTTAGAAATTCGGTTAACTACCGCATTAGTTTCAACTTTGGAATCAACACGTAACAATATGTATACAGATAGTTTAGTAACAGACCCGTAAACCATATCCACCGAACAATAGCACGTGACCCTCAGTACCCAGATCTGTTGTATTTCATGTTATCGAAGCAAGTGCACGTACACAGGCATGGTCCTGACATACCAATGATCATAATCCAAGGGGATCTTGAATACGAACCACGATAAGCGGATCGCAGCACGAGAAAGGGAGGTAACTCAACATCACACTCCAAATGTCATGAGGTCATCCGCGCGTATTTAACGAACTATACACCTCAGTACTTGTGTTTGTTTATCACAGAGATAACAACAGTGACATCTACGTTATCCGTGATATCTCCTGGCTGTGTGATATCACCACGTTGTATCTGGTTATCAGTCGGGTCACAGAGACAGTACAGTAAGATACACTGTACACAGTCAGTTTGTTCCTATCGGTACCAGACCTCACACAGACTGACCGACACGAGGAACGCTCCTACGTCCCAGGCAAAAACACGCCAGTGACGCCAGCCCGAAAAAGTCCTCGATTCGTCTGCACAGTGAAACGCAACATCCGTTTATCTTCGGTCGGTGACAGTTGTGATTGTTAAATCACGTGAGTGGTGAGTCATTGCACAGGGTATCAGTTACATACTGTCTTGGTAACATTTCAAAGCCAACTTCCTACCCGACGCAACAGTCAACTGACGATGAAGCTTTTGATATTGTGTATCAGTTTGGCCGTTCTGAGGTCCTCCCTCGGTATTAACCCAGCCACCGAAGAGGAAGAATGGCAGGAGTGGAAGGCTAGGTATGGGAAGGGCTACCCCACGGATGAGGAGGATGAAGACAGGCGGAATGTGTGGCTGGAGAACTACGACTACGTGGCCGCTCACAACGCCCTCAACGACGTTACCTACAAGCTGGAACTCAACAAGTTCGCGGACGAGGTGAGGTGGTTGTGGTGTTACCTCTAGTTGATATCAACAGTCATTGTTAACGTACAATTTAGGAAGAAGTTAATTGGAGCAATTGAATGTTTCCACCATACCTATATTAAAAGCCCGGATAGGGAAAGTTTTGCAAGACTTATGTCATGTAAGGATGAAAATGTTTTGACAAGTATTGCTAAGTTTCTGATGAAGGCTCGTAAAATTAGAAATGCATAAATTTCAGTCAATATTCTACACATTAAGATCTATATGTTATTTCTTAGATATGTTATGCCTATACACTGTGCAAATATGTCAGACACTTTATAAACCAAAATACAACATACTGTCACTTTATGACACTTGTGCAAATTGAAAGATATATTTCCTTAGATATATTCTACAGTATTATAAACATGTTTTAAGCTAGTCCAGATATAATAGCTTCCAACCTCCAACTGTAACAGGGGGGCATAATACACTGTACTGTAATAGACTCTGTTTATATTGCTATACCAGTAGTTGAAGAGGAATACCATTTAAATTGTCAATGTTTAAAAAATGCATAAGATAGAATGTTTTCCACCTTACCTATATATTGGTAACCCGTGTAAAGATAGTCTTGTTAGACTTGTGTCATCTAAGGATGATGTTTTGATAAGTATTGCTACTTTTTCTTTAGAAGGGTATATTATGCCTGTACATTGTGCAAAAATTGTTTCCATAGCTTTCAGAGGCAATAATGTATGACTATTACTGGTTTTACCAGCATCAAACCAAATGTAAAATTATTCTGTAATGTGGGCCATGGCCTTGTATACTGAAATAAAACTGTCTGTCTGTCTGTCTGCATCTCAATCATACAACAAAATACTGATACTGATAAATTCGAGTACAAGGCGACTAACGGAATACGGTGGTCAAGCTCGCTGACTTGGTTGACACATGTCATCTTATCCCAAGATCGATGTTCTTGCTGTTGATCACTTGGTTGTCTGGTCCATATTCGATTATTAACAGACCGCTGTCATATAGCTGGAATATTGCTGAGTGCGGCGTTAAACAACAAACAAACTGATAAGATCGAGATAGTGGGTAGCATAGGATATAGGATTCAGCTCCTGGTTACCCAGGACCAATGTTAATGACTGGCCTCCATGGTAAAGTTGAAAGTTGTCCGGAATAAATAAGCCACTCATTTACCTCAGACGGTAGTCTACATTAATACCTGTATCTTATACTCATTAACCCCGCCCATGCTACAGGCGTATTCACACGCCCACGTCTCTATCTGCAGCTGTCGCCAGCGATCTCATACCCAGACCACGAGAAGGTCCATGAGGAGATTCTGGTGAAGGATAAGTCCGCCCCCAAACAATTCGACTGGAGGAAGAAGGGCGTGGTCGGCGCTGTCAAAAAACCAGGGTCAGATGGGATATGTGGAGGCCTTTGTTGCTGCAGGCAAGTGCTCACACCCTATCTCCAGGGTCTTTCCGAAGTTCTGTGTTTGACGTCCAGTAACGTTGTACTTGATATTGTGTATGAGTTTGGCCGTTCTGAGGTCCTCCCTTGGTATTAACCCAGCCACCGAAGAGGAAGAATGGCAGGAGTGGAAGGCTAGGTATAGGAAATGATTGTTTTCGAGTTTTGTTTCAAACAGTAAGGGCTCAAGCAGCCAATAAGAGCTGCAATTAGTTGTGCACAGTTCCTGCAAACCTGGAACCTATGATTTGGAGTCCAATCGCCCGGCATTGTGTTTCTAGGTTTCCCCTTACCCGTGGTCATGAGTTCCACCTGAGTGGACAGTGCCTGAGACGTGCATCATTTCGGGTTTTCAAATAATCTTTATCATCTCAGAGTTACAGCTTTCGTTCGCGACTGGATTGTCTGGTCCGGTTTCATCATATATTTTTTTCATCGTTCCTTCCTTTATTTACTCCTTCATTCGCTTATTTATTCATCGGGTTATTCCATCACCCCATCCATCTATCCACCCATCCATGTTACCAACCAGCAAGACCAGCCAAACAGGTCACCAACCAAACTGCTAATACCCAACGCCCAACGCCAATCAACCAGCCAACCAAACAATCAGCCAGTCAGCCAACCAACCAGCAAACCAGCCAACAACAAACCAGCAAACCAGCTCACCAACCAACCTGCAAACACCAAACACCCCAACACCCCAACACCCCAACACCAATCAACCATCTATCAATCTATCCACTCATGTATCATGTACCCTTTCCAACACAAGCGATATACACTATGTAAATGTCTGGGGTTATAGGGGTAGCCTAGTGGTTAAAGCGTTCGCTGCTCACGCCGAAGACCCGGGTTCGATTCCCTAACCATATTTACGTGTCATGCTTTGCAGAGTGTGTGGAGAGTCTCCACGCTATCCAGACAGGTCGGCTGTATGACCTCAGCGCACAGGAAGTTGAAGCTTGCTGCAGGGAATTTCTGCAGCTGCCCATCGAGAATGATGTGTTTGGCTGCATCCACAAAATTGGGGGCCTCTGCACAGCGGCTACATACAAACCATCATCCCAATGTTCCAATACGTCATGCGAACCCGTGGCACAAGTAAGTACTTTAATCCACATCCACACTCTCCGTCACGTTTGATTAGACAGACAGTTTTGGTCCCAAGTTAAACAAACTTGTCCCAACAGACCACCCAAATGGAGAACCGGTGTCAACGGGAACGTTAAGTCCACAACGGGAAATCATCTTCTCACTTGGCCGATTTCCTTTCTCATCGTTTCCCGATAGCGTAGAATGATGGGTTCATTATCGAACAAAATCCTGATGGCCGAGCTCCGTCGTGTAATATCGGTTTCGATCTTGTAAAGTAAACGTATTTGTTTCATGACATAACATGACTTGCTAGTTGTCATGACTCGCTACAGTAAAGACCGTTTATAACAAACTGAAGGATAGACGATCTCTTGTTATACTTTAGTCGCAATGCGCATAAAAGACTACGGTCACAACGAACTAAAAGTGGTCCCTTTGAGTTCGTTATAACCGTAGTAAGCTGTATATGTCTATGGTCTGGGGCGATGGGGTAGCCTAGTGGTTAAAGCGTTCGCTACTCACGCCGAAGACCTGGGTTTGATTCCCCACATTGGTACAATGTGTGAAGGCCATTTCTAGTGTCCCCCGCCGTGGTATTGCTGGAATATTGCTGAAAGTGGCGTATCACAACACTCTGCTATACGAATGTGGAACAATGTTCCCATAGAAATAAGAAACATAGACTCGTTAGCAGGTTTTAAATTGAAAATTCAAAGAAAAATATATGCAGCCCCGTCTTTCTTTCGGTCTGGTACAAGAAAACTTAATATGTTTCACACAAAACTGAGGTACATTTCAAGTCCGCTTAATTACGATTTATTTAGAATTAATTTAAGATCAGATGCTTCTTGTAAATTACTTGTGGTTGTCCCCTGTGAAAATTCATGGCATTATGTTTTAGAATGTCGTTAAGCATCGCATACCTACTAATCTAGATTTATTGTTATTTGGTCATGTTACACTATCACTATATGAAAATGAATAATTAATTAAACATGTACATACATATAATAAGCTCACTGAAAGATTTTTGTAGTTTATTCTTGTATATTATGCTATAATTCTTGTAATGTGGGCCATGGCCTTGTATACTGAAATAAAACTGTCTGTCTGTCTGTCTGCATCTCAATCATACAACAAAATACTGATACTGATAAATTCGAGTACAAGGCGACTAACGGAATACGGTGGTCAAGCTCGCTGACTTGGTTGACACATGTCATCTTATCCCAAGATCGATGTTCTTGCTGTTGATCACTTGGTTGTCTGGTCCATATTCGATTATTAACAGACCGCTGTCATATAGCTGGAATATTGCTGAGTGCGGCGTTAAACAACAAACAAACTGATAAGATCGAGATAGTGGGTAGCATAGGATATAGGATTCAGCTCCTGGTTACCCAGGACCAATGTTAATGACTGGCCTCCATGGTAAAGTTGAAAGTTGTCCGGAATAAATAAGCCACTCATTTACCTCAGACGGTAGTCTACATTAATACCTGTATCTTATACTCATTAACCCCGCCCATGCTACAGGCGTATTCACACGCCCACGTCTCTATCTGCAGCTGTCGCCAGCGATCTCATACCCAGACCACGAGAAGGTCCATGAGGAGATTCTGGTGAAGGATAAGTCCGCCCCCAAACAATTCGACTGGAGGAAGAAGGGCGTGGTCGGCGCTGTCAAAAACCAGGGTCAGATGGGATATGTGGAGGCCTTTGTTGCTGCAGGCAAGTGCTCACACCCTATCTCCAGGGTCTTTCCGAAGTTCTGTGTTTGACGTCCAGTAACGTTGTACTTGATATTGTGTATGAGTTTGGCCGTTCTGAGAGTCCTCCCTTGGTATTAACCCAGCCACCGAAGAGGAAGAATGGCAGGAGGGAAGGCTAGGTATAGGAAATGATTGTTTTCGAGTTTTGTTTCAAACAGTAAGGGCTCAAGCAGCCAATAAGAGCTGCAATTAGTTGTGCACAGTTCCTGCAAACCTGGAACCTATGATTTGGAGTCCAATCGCCCGGCATTGTGTTTCTAGGTTTCCCTTACCCGTGGTCATGAGTTCCACTGGAGTGGACAGTGCCTGAGACGTGCATCATTTCGGGTTTTCAAATAATCTTTATCATCTCAGAGTTACAGCTTTCGTTCGCGACTGGATTGTCTGGTCCGGTTTCATCATATATTTTTCATCGTTCCTTCCTTTATTTACTCCTTCATTCGCTTATTTATTCATCGGGTTATTCCATCACCCCATCCATCTATCCACCCATCCATGTTACCAACCAGCAAGACCAGCCAAACAGGTCACCAACCAAACTGCTAATACCCAACGCCCAACGCCAATCAACCAGCCAACCAAACAATCAGCCAGTCAGCCAACCAACCAGCAAACCAGCCAACAACAAACCAGCAAACCAGCTCACCAACCAACCTGCAAACACCAAACACCCCGCAACACCCCAACACCCCAACACCAATCAACCATCTATCAATCTATCCACTCATGTATCATGTACCCTTATACAAGCGATATACACTATGTAAATGTCTGGGGTTATAGGGGTAGCCTAGTGGTTAAAGCGTTCGCTGCTCACGCCGAAGACCCGGGTTCGATTCCCTAACCATATTTACGTGTCATGCTTTGCAGAGTGTGTGGAGAGTCTCCACGCTATCCAGACAGGTCGGCTGTATGACCTCAGCGCACAGGAAGTTGAAGCTTGTTGCAGGGAATTCCTGCAGCTGCCCATCGAGAATGATGTGTTTGGCTGCATCCACAAAATTGGGGGCCTCTGCACAGCGGCTACATACAAACCATCATCCCAATGTTCCAATACGTCATGCGAACCCGTGGCACAAGTAAGTACTTTAATCCACATCCACACTCTCCGTCACGTTTGATTAGACAGACAGTTTTGGTCCCAAGTTAAACAAACTTGTCCCAACAGACCACCCAAATGGAGAACCGGTGTCAACGGGAACGTTAAGTCCACAACGGAAATCATCTTCTCACTTGGCTGATTTCCTTTCTCATCGTTTCCCGATAGCGTAGAATGATGGGTTCATTATCGAACAAAATCCTGATGGCCGAGCTCCGTCGTGTAATATCGGTTTCGATCTTGTAAAGTAAACGTATTTGTTTCATGACATAACATGACTTGCTAGTTGTCATGACTCGCTACAGTAAAGACCGTTTATAACAAACTGAAGGATAGACGATCTCTTGTTATACTTTTAGTCGCAATGCGCATAAAGACTATTGGTCACAACGAACTAAAAGTGGTCCCTTTGAGTTCGTTATAACCGTAGTAAGCTGTATATGTCTATGGTCTGGGGCGATGGGGTAGCCTAGTGGTTAAAGCGTTCGCTACTCACGCCGAAGACCTGGGTTTGATTCCCCACATTGGTACAATGTGTGAAGGCCATTTCTAGTGTCCCCCGCCGTGGTATTGCTGGAATATTGCTGAAAGTGGCGTATCACAACACTCTGCTATACGAATGTGGAACAATGTTCCCATAGAAATAAGAAACATAGACTCGTTAGCAGGTTTTAAATTGAAAATTCAAAGAAAAATATATGCAGCCCCGTCTTCTCTTTCGGTCTGGTACAAGAAAACTTAATATGTTTCACACAAAACTGAGGTACATTTCAAGTCCGCTTAATTACGATTTATTTAGAATTAATTTAAGATCAGATGCTTCTTGTAAATTACTTGTGGTTGTCCCCTGTGAAAATTCATGGCATTATGTTTTAGAATGTCGTTAAGCATCGCATACCTACTAATCTAGATTTATTGTTATTTGGTCATGTTACACTATCACTATATGAAAATGAATAATTAATTAAACATGTACATACATATAATAAGCTCACTGAAAGATTTTTGTAGTTTATTCTTGTATATTATGCTATAAACATCATCTTTAAAGATCTTGTAAATTCATTCAACAAATCCCTGTTTTCAATGTTTTTATACTTTAAATATGAAATATGTAACTTCTGGGAGAGGGCGTTCCTAAGTTGGATAACTTGTGCCGATTCTATTTCATTTTTGAATAAATTATGTACAAACAAAAAACAAAACAATTAATCAATCGTCATGTCTTCAGTCACTGGTTTGTGCGGCCCATTCTGTAAAATAGGAATACTGCGTCGTTGAACAAATTAATTCAAATGTACCAGCTCCGGTTAGAAATGTTCTTCAGTAACCTGTAAGGTAGGCCCCTGTTTGTCGTAAGAGGCTGCGAATGGGATAGGAGGTCAGAATCGTTGATTTGGTTTGTGCATGTCACTGTATCCCGTCTGCATAGATAGATGCTCTTGATGTGAACCACTGGATTGTCTGTGTCAGACTCGATTATTTATACACCGTCTTATCGCTGAAACACTGTTATGTGTGCCTCTTACGACAAACAAAAATCCCAATATTTACATTTTTAACTTTCAGGTTACTATCGGATGCTTAAGACTGTTGCGATGATAACTATAACTATATCGAGGCATTGTATTGATTGCTAGTATTTTACTATGCTACTGACTGTTGGGTGTGACGCAGGGGTCCCTTGGATCTGACACAGTCTCATTTTATGGCAACTAAAATCAAACCTTCTGCGTCACATATTACGAAAACACATTTTGTTATCGATTATTTTGGTGCCCTTTCATTAATATAGTGTGTGCATAGCCATGTACTGTGGAATCCTAGAAGGGACATTGTCGCATTCTCGCCGTTATTCAAACAAACTAAAATGTCAAAATTAATCAAAGCGCGACAATGTCATTTCTCGGATTCGGTAATGCATGAGCATAGCGACTAAACACCATCCATGTGGACCTCGGACTCCGTTGCCTTGTTGACAGTGCGATTTCCCCTGTCGGCGGTTCCGTCCCTGGCTGCTCATTCCAAATGACGTTAACAGTTAAACTTCAGCATTGTATTGCAGGGCGGGGACTATAAAACTGATATCAATACAAGTAGAATTGTACAAGCTGCCCCACACCCGCAGACGTACACACACGCATATGCATGCACGTCAATATCGAATGGCAATACTTTCGAACGCAACAATTTATACCACGTTCACCCATTATAGGTAAACAAGATCACATATCTCTCATCTTCGTCTTCAAATACCTGGACCTATTGTTCAGCGAATTCCTAGCATCATCCCAGTGATATTCGAGGGTTAAAATGTTTTGAGCGGTAAAAAACAATATGACTCTTTTTCTTCAGACACAGGGTACCAAGTATGTCCCGGCTAACAACGAGGGGGCTCTTCTCGAAGCCCTCCTGACCGTCCCGGTGTTTGTAACGGTCAACGCCAGTCCACAGTCCTTTCTAATGTACAAGTCTGGAGTATACTCGGACCCACAATGCACCGGTGGCAACCTGGACCACGTACTGCAGCTTGTTGGGTACGGCACTGACGAGGAGGGTAACGCCTACTGGATCTGCAAGAACAGCTGGGGTGAGTTGGATGCATACTGTTTTTTTCAGTATTGTTTTTACGTTAAAGAGGGACGCATGTCCCCACTACGGAGATGTGACGTACTTTGTATTGAAGGTGATTCACAGTGTATGTACGGTGGCGCGGTGGGCGAGCTGGCTAAGATGCCACGCTAATGATCCAGCGAGGTTGAGGTTTCGGGATCGAGCCCACCTGTGACCGGGTGTAAAACCTTGGAGTCAACTTTGTGTGCAGACTCGTTCAGTGTTGTCACAACCCTAGTGTACAGTACACAACCCTGTGCACTTAAAAGAACCCTCGAATCCGTTGGTAAATGACCAGATGGTGGCCACATGGATACGTGCAAACTCCTAGTTGTGGGTACAGCAACATTCAGTGAACTTGGACAAAGTGCTGTGACTATGTGTCCCAGTCCATCCAGCTGTGAATGGGTGCATCCTTAGGATGAGAAAGCCACAATAACTCGATGCGCCTAGTGTCTGCAAGAGTTGGATACTCCCCAGGGAGTTGATAATACGATGTGCCGTTTAGATTAACATCCAATGATCGAGACTAGTTGCCTGGATTTGTGCACTTTATAAATGTCCTATAAAAAAAAAGTATTTAGTGTATATGTATTTAAAATGTGATACAAAATCCTTATCAAGGAGACTGATCGTGTAATATTTTGAGCAGCTTTGGCCAAGAAGAAGTTGGCCCTTTGGTTTAAAAATGGGTAAAATGTTCGGGGGGACTGATACTTTGAAATAATGATATGTTGGTCAATAAAAGAAAGCTCAAACAAAAATTGCCGATCACCTACTGTTTTATGATGCGTTTCGTGACATACGAGGCTGTTAACAGAGTTACCTCCCTTCATATTTAATCCTCATCTGCAATACCGATGATCGCTTTCGGCTATTTTCATTAATCCGGAAAATTGGGAAACATACATCCTGGCTGAATAAATGCTAGTTATAAAACTTTAAATTCTTTAAACGGATGGTAATTCAGGACCAATGAGGGGTGAGAAACACGGAAGGCACTGACTGATTTGTTTTGTTGCAGGGGAGGACTGGGGGATGGAAGGTTACGTCTACATCCAGCGAGGGGTCAACAGATGTGGCATTGCGGAAGATGCCAAGTACCCTTACTGAAATTAAAGTTACTTCATATCATTTACACAGACGTTGCTGTTGTTGTTTGATGTGTGTCCGAATCTGACCACAAGATACAATCTTAGAGACATACATCATTGTGGACTACAGAATTCTCGTGATTCTGCGAATCATTTTTAAACATTTAGTTCGGACGATGTAAAGTAACGTAGACTGTATACAGGATACAATTACAATTTAATGTGAGATCCTTGAAGACATTATTGTCCGGATTTTAACGACGGGGTTTTCGTTCCTGGTCTAAGCTCTGGTGTTGGTAACTGCTTTTCAAAGACCGCCATATAGCTGCAATATTGCTGAGTGCGGCGTAAAACTAAACTCACTCACTTCAAAGACTTTGTGCCAAATGAGAGAATACGAGATGATGAAAAAGCGTTTTGAGCATTGGACGTTTCGGAAATATACTTCTGGTGTGAAACATTTATGGCATTTGAACGTTTCACATGTAAGTCATTAGTACTAACTAACAAAGTCACAAACACTGCGCGTGGAGTTTCTATTTGCTTTGTTCTTCCGATCTAAGGATATTTCTTTCCACAATTTAAGTACTACCAACTCCATTTTGACCAACCGATCTTCATCTTATCGGATGTTCAAATTCAAATTGAAATTCAAATGTTTATTTTTTTACATGGTATAGTAGGATCAATTAAACAAAAGATTCACATTTAATTTCTACTTTTGAAGGCATATTTGAAGCATAACATTACAGATTTTAAATTTGTATAGCGCAGCCAAGGTCTGGGGAAACAAGTTTCCGATCTGTTGAAAAAAACTAACGCCAGAAAAGATGCATTTTCTATGTAAACTTTTAGTATGATATGGCTGAACGCGGAACCGCCAGTGATCTCCAATTCTAGGCTCCTGGACGCTGTGAGAGAACACTCATCACTCAAGACTGGCGATATGATCCCGGGAGATGGGTTTATACGGCTGGGTTATGATGCGACCACTTGATGTAGTGCCCGCCTCGGGGCAAATGTCTTGAGCCAGACAAATATATGGAGTTTGGAATTCTGTGAAATGTTAATTCGGTATACTTCAGTGCTTATACGACCCTGCAGACGCATTTGGCAGAATGTGATATTTCTCGCGCTCTTGAAGGCATGGTGTTTAGGAGACAGGGTAATATCACCAGGGGCTGGTTGAATATTGATACTTCTGACGAGGATGGCAGGAGGCAGAGGTGGAGCATATTTCGGCCTTCTTCTCCAGAGGTCTCTACATAATGTCCTCGCAATAAATCAGAAGATGGGGATTAATCAGCGTTTTATTTGTTGCTGATGTCGTTAGGTGGGGATTTCTGACTACGAACTTCATGCTGTATAGCTATTAAATAGGTACATCGCCCACGACAGACCTATACATGGTGGTTCGCTCACTGAAGATCTATAAGTGGTGGCCCTCGCACTGCAGTACTATACAGGTGGCCTTCTCGCTGCGGATCTATACATAGTGCCCCCCTCAGTGCAGATCTATACAGGTGGCCCTCTCACTGCAGATCTATACAGGTGGCCCTCTCACTGCAGATCTATACAGGTGGCCTTCTCACTGCAGATCTATACAGGTGGCCCTCTCAATGCAGATCTATACATAGTGCCCTCCTCGGTGCAGATCTATACAGGTGGCCCTCTCACTGCAGATCTGTACAGGTGGCCCTCTCAATGCAGATCTATACAGGTGGCCCTCTCACTCTCACAGGTGCAGATCTATACAGGTGGCCCTCTCACTGCAGATCTATACAGGTGGCCCTCTCACTGCAGATCTATACAGGTGGCCCTCTCACTGCAGATCTATACAGGTGGCCCTCTCACTGCAGATCTATACAGGTGGCCCTCTCACTGCAGATCTATACATGGTGGCCCTGGCCCCTCACTGCAGATGCAGATCTATAGACATGGTGGCCCCTCTCACTGCAGATCTATACAGGTGGCCCTCTCACTGCAGATCTATACATGGTGGCCCTCTCACTGCAGATCTATACAGGTGGCCCTCTCACTGCAGATCTATACAGGTGGCCCTCTCACTGCAGATCTATACAGGTGGCCCTCTCAATGCCATCCTCTCACTGAACTGCAGGTGGCCTCTCACTGCAGATCTATACAGGTGGCCATCTCACTGCAGATCTATACATGGTGGCCCTCTCACTGCAGATCTATACAGGTGGCCCTCTCACTGCAGATTTATACATGGTGGCCCTCTCGCTGCAGATCTATACATGGTGGCCCTCTCACTGCAGATCTATACATGTGGCCCTCTTAATTCAGATCTGTATATGGTGGCCCACTCAATGCAGATCTGTACATGGTGGCCCTCTCACTGCAGATCTATACATGTGGCCCTCTCAATGCAGATCTATACATGTGGCCCTCTCAATGCAGATCTATACATGTGACCCTCTTACTGCAGATCTGTACATGGTGGCCCACTCAATGCAGACCCATACATGGTGGCCCTCTTACTGCAGATCTATACATGGTGGCCCTCTCACTGCAGATCTATACATGGTGGCCCTCTCAATGCAGATCTGTACATGGTGTCCCTCTTACTGCATATCTGTACAATGTGGCCCACTCAATGCAGATCTATACATGGTGGCCCACTCAATGCAGATCTATACATGGTGGCCCACTCAATGCAGATCTATACATGGTGGCCCACTGAATGCAGATCTATACATGGTGGCCCACTCAATGCAGATCTATACAGGTGGCCCTCTCACTGCAGACCTATACATGGTAGCCCTCTTACTGCAGATCTGTACATGGTGGCCCACTCAATGCAGATCTATACATGGTGGCCCTCTTACTGCAGATCTGTACATGGTGGCCCACTCAATGCAGATCTATACATGGTGGCCCACTCAATGCAGATCTATACATGGTGGCCCTCTTACTGCAGATCTGTACATGGTGGCCCTCTCAATGCAGATCTATACATGGTGGCCCTCTCACTGCAGATCCATACATGTGGCCCTTTCACTGCAGATCTATACATGGTGGCCCTCTCGCTGCAGATCTATACATGGTGGCCCTCTCAATGCAGATCTGTTCATGGTGGCCCTCTCAATGCAGATCTGTACATGGTGACCCTCTCACTGCAGATCTACACATGTGGCCCTCTCACTGCAGATCTATACAAGTGGCCCGCTTGCTGCATATCTATATAGGTGGCCCGCTTGCTGCAGATCTATACAGGTGGCCCTCTCACTGCAGATCTATACAGGTGGCCCGCTCTTGCTGCAGATCTATACATGGTGGACTCAACACCACAGATCTCCACAAGGTGAACATTTCACAACACCGATCTGTACAAGGCGAACTTCACACCACACGTATTCATTCTGTTGACGTCAAGATCATTATTTTGATGTCTAAGTAAGGATTTACCATCTAAACATGTCTATGACCTAAATATGCCTAAAATCATTACGAGACGATTAAGTCTACTGCTTAGTGAACCTTAACACACAAAACTCTGATGCATTCTATTGAGGGAAAAATATCCTCTCCCTAAGGTCCTAAATCCTCCATAACCTCCCATGAAGAACACAGACACTGTGACATAGATATGTCGGGTTATAGATATCAATATAATGTGCGCCAAACTCAACAGAAGCGTAAGATTTCGCGAACCCAACAGGATCTGATTCAGACAGTGTTCTGTTGCTAAAGTTACAGTACTTTTAATTGGATATATTCATGAAAAACGAGAATGCTCGTACAGTATCTGACACCATACTTGGCACTCATAGAATAACTATCGAGCTACGACGAAATGTGGTTTATTTTTCCCAGGGGAATTAAAGTCATAGATTCTGAGTGAGAAACAGAAAAAAAACGAAAAGTAATTCCGAGTTTCGACGTATTTTCTTTCTTATCTATAATCAAATTTGCTGCAAATGTCTCTAGATCCGATCCCCTACAACCGTCGAAACGTTCAACGGTTCTGACCCAAGCCATCTTTTCATGACACATCTGATATCATAAAATAGCTGGCTGGTACCATCAAAAGTCAATATTTTTGCATCATTCATACTTTTACAAAAACAACACTTTTGCTGAAGTACAGAACTTCCAATAATTATATATCACCTGAAACAGACAAATACCATCAACTGAAAATGAGTGAGTGAGTGAGTTAAGTTTTACGCCGCTTTAAGCAATATTCCATCGATATCACGGCGGGGGCACCAGAAATGGGCTTCATACATTGTACCCATGCGGGTCTTTGGCGTGAAGAGAGGACGCTTTAACCACTTGGCTACCCCACCGCCCCCATTAACTGAAAGAAATTTCCAACTTTGTCAGTTATGTGATACTGGTGAATCAGATGAATTTCACCATCTGCTGTAGTGCCCATCACTTGTAACAGGAAACAACTCACTCATAACTATTATAACATTAACCCAGACATGTATAAAAATAAATATAATTTTTGTAACCACGGTTTAGGAACATTAAAAATTAAAGTTATGTAAATTAATCATGATAAAGTTATTATGATAAAGAATATTTCAGTGTCCTGTGCCTGACCCGACTACTCGGAAAGGATCCCAACAATTCTGTAATGCATGATGGGGGAAGCGAAGGTGCTCTACAGTGAGCGATAACAAGGCTCTACAGTGAGCGATAACAAGGCTCTACAGTGAGCGATAACAAGGCTCTACAGTGAGCGATAACAAGGCTCTACAAGGCTGAGCGATAACAAGGCTCTACAGTGAGCGATAACAAGGCTCTACAGTGAGCGATAACAAGGCTCTACAGTGAGCGATAACAAGGCTCTACAGTGAGCGATAACAAGGCTCTACAGTGAGCGATAACAAGGCTCTGCAGTGAGCGATAACAAGGCTCTACAGTGAGCGATAACAAAGGCTCTACAGTGAGCGATAACAAGGCTCTACAGTGAGCGATAACAAGGCTCTACAGGCTGAGCGATAACAAGGCTCTACAGTGTGAGCGATAACAAGGCTCTACAGTGAGCGATAACAAGGCTCTACAGTGAGCGATAACAAGGCTCTACAGTGAGCGATAACAAGGCTCTACAGTGAGCGATAACAAGGCTCTACAGTGAGCGATAACAAGGCTCTACAAGGCTCTACAGTGAGCGATAACAAGGCTCTACAGTGAGCGATAACAAGGCTCTACAGTGAGCGATAACAAGGCTCTACAGTGAGCGATAACAAGGCTCTACAGTGAGCGATAACAAGGCTCTACAGTGAGCGATAACAAGGCTCTACAGTGAGCGATAACAAGGCTCTACAGTGAGCGATAACAAGGCTCTACAGTGAGCGATAACAAGGCTCTACAGTGAGCGATAACAAGGCTCTACAGTGAGCGATAACAAGGCTCTACAGTGAGCGATAACAAGGCACTACAAGGCTCTACAGTGAGCGATAACAAGGCTCTACAGTGAGCGATAACAAGGCTCTACAGTGAGCGATAACAAGGCTCTACAGTGAGCGATAACAAGGCTCTACAGTGAGCGATAACAAGGCTCTACAGTGAACGATAACGAGGCTCTACAGTGGATGATAACAAAGCTCTACAGGGGGCGATAACAAAGCTCTACAGCGGACGATAACAAGGCTCTACAGTGGGCGATAACAAGAATGTACAGTTAGCAATAACAAGGCTCTACAGTGGATGATAACAAAGCTCTACAGCGGACGATAACAAGGCTCTACATTGAACGATAACAAGGCTGTACAGTGGACGATAACAAGGGTCCACAGAGAACGATAACATGGCTACACAATGGTACTGATACGAAGTCCACCTCTTGCAGAGACAACTAATTGAACGAATATATCCGTGCTCATTTGTTTCTCTTTACAGACAAAGTTCTTCAGCCTTCAAAGAGATATAAATAATTAATGAGTGCGTGCTTCGTATCTCTTTAGCCTTAGTCATGTGTTAGCCTCGCTTCCGTTGATGCTTTCTTTCCACCAAAGACGAAGGTGAATATGCCATATGCAATTAGTGAGTTCAAAGCTGAGTCTACGGTAGAATGATCACCTGCCCACCTCACGACACTGACTTGTAGACTAGGTTATAGTTGTCTATGAATGGTGAGGCGTGCTCTCATTTCATGAAGTGAGTGAGGCTGTCCTTTAAAACCGCTTTGGACAATATTTCAAATACATCACGGCTTGCTAGCTTAATGTCGTACTCAGCAGATCACAGATTCCGGTCTTGGACGTCCATTGAGATGAAACACGCAAACACTGGAAATGTGAATACTGTATTTGAACTAGCGATATACGGATCATGTCTCAGCAAAGGGGCACAGCTCTGGGCCTAGATTTTCGAAGCTCTCTTAGCGCTAAGATAGTCGTAAGTTAATGTTAATGTATGGCACTTACGACTATCTTAGCGCTAAGAGAGCTTCGAAAATCTAGGCCCTAAACACCATGCAACAGCAATACAATTGTCAAAGGAAACGACAGAACAATATATTCTGTATTCACATTTGATTTTGCTATAATAGTGATAGAGAATCATAGTAAATAGTAACAGGTTGTGCAGTTAATGTACAGTTAATGTATATTATTTACAAAGTAGTAGATGTTCAATAAAAATGTGTCACAACAACTGATACCGTACCTCTTTAATGAGATAACTAATTTAACAGAGTAACGGGGACATCTGACTGAGATTTGCATTAGTCATGGAATGTCAGATGACCATAGATTTTGTTAGATGATTGGACAAAGCGCCATACTGTTCATCACGTCATTTTCCATGAAATGTCAAACTCATTAATATCGCGTGAATCTGCCTCTATTCTCAAGAAAATTCCGAATTCGACGAGGTGATCAAACATCCTATGTTAACTGTTCATTCCATCCAACTCTTCCTGCAGAGTAGCGCCAAGTTCGAAGTGAGTGGCCAGTGCCTGCTGACGCCGTCCAAGAATATCCCAGATGTTTTCAATGGGTGACATATCTGGACTGAGTGCAAGCCATGGGGAAGGTGGCAACTTTCTTCTATTACTAGGTACTCGGTAACAAAACCACCCCTGTGTTGTCATCCTGAAACACAAAATGACGTCCATGCCGGCGTCACCCTCGCCGATAGTACTACCCATTCTGCCAGTCACAGTGAGTTCATTCCTGGGCCATCCCTAAAATGACCGTCCTGTCTGATGTTAACGGCATGAAAACGCTCATTTCGTCTACTCCAAGTCACCACACTGAAACGTTTCACTGACAATTTCGAAAGTTACCCCGATCATATTTGATGAGTGGTTTGTGTTTGTCTCTGCTTGTCTCGACCTACGAATAGCTTGATATATACTGAGGGAAACAAATAAAGGAACACCACTTCATGGCATTGTTCCTATATTTATCCTCAGATTTCCTCCCACAGCGCTTTTCAAGCTTCTGAAGGAAACTGGAAAATATTAAGGGAACACTTGAATTTTCCTGTTTCCTTAATTGTTACCCTCAGTATATTTCCGATGATTCCATGGGTTTCAGTTTTACGAGGTTTTATTGTATTCCTTTGCTTGTCAGCAATATTCCAGCTACATGTGTATGTGTTATGCGAATAACCGCTTCTGGGCCAGTCAGTTCGATGATTGGCATCACGAAAACGTCAATCTACCAACTGCGAAACGATGACGTCCATCGACCAAGTTAGCCAGTCTGACCACACAGATCCCGTCAGCCGTTTTTTACAATAAGCATGGGTTGCTGCAGACCAATTCCAACCCGTGCGTGAGACAGATACCCCAAGAAATAGCCGAATAGCAAAATACAACCCATAGTAAACGACCTAAATCATTTCAGCTCATGAAGTAATTGCTTCCATACTTCCCGAGGGCTTAGTATCGCGACTGGGTCGAAAATTACGGAAATTTGACTGAAATACTATAAGCCTACGGTCGACCCTGTATTAACCAATATAATTATTAAATTCAAAGCAAAGTATTATATTACGTTTATAAAACTAAGTACGTGGTGCTCAAGAGACATGCGAGAGGGATCAATCCCAAAACTACTTAGAATCCAAATGGAACAACAATATATCGACCATGGTTTTCCGTCTCTATTGATTATCATATTTCATGAGTGATATGATTATTACGTCTGTCGGAATGGTTGTGTGAGATAAAATACAGTTCCATTCAAAAGTAATTATGGAATTGAAAGAGCACATCAGTCTCATATTGCCGGCGCCCGTTGTAACATGCCCGTTTGAGATTTATGTTAACTGCATGGGAAGAAAAACACTTCTTTCTAGATTCTGTAGAAATCAAAGGGCTGCGATTGTATCTGGGTGAAATATTTCTTTGGTTAAGTAACTACAAAGGGCTACACACAGAGAAGTCTGTACTTAGAAACACAGCGAGTCGGTTGATTGAGTTTGACACAGTCGTAAGTTTTCCTTCTACACAACCTTGAGTGTTGGTTGGTTGGTTGGTTGTTTAACGCCGCACTCGGCAACATTCCAGGCGGACCTTGAGTGAGTGAGTGAATAACTTTGGTTTAAGGTAGCTGAATAGAATTCACTTTTATTTCGATCTGGGAGGACATCCCGAAGTGAGGCAAGACATAGGCGTTTAACATTGTAATGAAAGCCCAGTTTGTATGTCCATGTTTGTTTTGGGGTTGTTCTTGTTTGTTTATTTGGTTTGGTTGTTTGTTTGGTTGTTTGTTTGTTTTTGTTTGTCACGCCTTCATGAGCGGACGCTTTAACCATTAGGCGAGCCAACCACCCACACAAAGATCACGGACGATTGTTATGTCAACAGATAGTATATTGCAAATAAATCGGGTATTTATACATGTGTATTGTACTTAGTATTACATTAGCCACTTCTTCGATAAATCCAGAATCAAAGATTTAGTCTGATATATGACGAGATATTTTACATATGCATGTCTAGAAAGTATACATAACTCGAAGTGAATCATTGCATACCTACAAATTCGAGACGTCCAGAATCCTCTTTTCGCTAGCAATCTGTTGATTCAAAAGTGCATCTGATATTTCGAATGGGCCTCAATCTCGAACTATTACAACAAAGCCCTACCACATCCCATTTAACTTATATTGGTTGTTTCCTTTTTAGACGCATGTGTCAACGGTAGCTAATATTTCGAATGCACCAATATCTCGAAATAGTAAAATGAACCCATCTAAATTCGAGACATGGAGATTCGACGGATAACAAAATGGACTGCTTCATATGATTACAGATTTTTAAATATTTGACATATCTCGAACGTGCTTCAACTCGAGTTGTTGAAATGTGATAACATACTTCGAGATAATCATGTGTACGCTTTTTCAGTGTGACTGAGCATTCATTGTCTGCATACATCGAGATATAAACGTTATTGATAATATAAATCACATTGAAATGACGCTACATTTCCTGTTGGGATCAACAGGCTCAACCCTGTGAGGAGCACGTGCTTTACCCCACGCCAAGCGGCCCTCAGACCGATACGTTATTTGATAATGCCTTCCACAACAGATAATTATTCTCAATACAATAGTTGATGTCCCCCCAGCGCGGCGGTATATCGAGGTCAGTGGTTTGTTTACAGCGCGCTATGGCAATGTAACCGAGCGTTCGTACCGGGTGTATATCCTCCAATGATTACCGTCATTCTATCGTGTGCCCTGGGATAGACTGGTCAGTCGGACAGACTCGTGGATTATCTCACCCCCAAAGTCGTCAAGTCAAACCAATTACCCGGACTGCCGTTATGTCATTGCTCAGGTAAGATATATCGCCCTGTCGTGTAGATAACTGTCAGCGATGTCAGTCAGTCATGTTTTCATATTACAATGGTATCATGTATCGAACACCTGTTGGTCGAAGTCAAACAGCGGAATGCACAGCTAATACTTATTTGAGCTTTGGGTAATGCTTCTTTGGTTGCATAGTGTATATTACACAAATAAAGTTAAGCATAACCGATTGTTTCATGTCACATCGGTGTATAATGGTCTGACAGATTCTCTGGTGCAATGTAAAACAATCGGGTGGTCTACGCTCCTTTCGATAAGCATGACTAGTTGTATGCCTGCCAGCTTGTGTCTAAAATGTCAGTCATGTCTGTCATTTCTCTGCGACTCTGCACATCAACCTATTTTTACATTCGTTCTGCTGTCTACTCTGGGTATATATATGCGTCCATTCTTAGATGTATTTACCATGTACCATTGTCTGGCTGTCCTCTCACAATCATATCTGGTTATCTGTCTGTGCTGTGATCTCCCTGTCTATACACTGATCACTCTGTTTGAGTATCTGCCCGACTGGCTTCAAATCTGCCTGTCTATCTGTCTATCTGTTTTGCCATTATTGTATACTCTCTCTCCATGTCTAACTTCCTGCCCTGTCTCTCTCCCTTTCTGTCTCTCGCCCCTCTCTGCCTCCCTGTCTCTACTTTTCACTCCCTTTCTCTCCCCTATTTCTCTCTTCCTCTTTCCTTTTCTCTTTATCTTCTTTTCTCTCTAACCCTGTCTCTCTTTTACCTCTATCTCTCCCTGTCTCTCTCCAACACCGGAATCTCTCTCCTCTCTCTCTCATTTTCTGTCCCCTCTCTCTCCCTCTCCCTTTATGTCTCTCTCTCACTCCATCTCTCGCCTTCTCTCTCTCCGTCCGTCTGCCTGTCAGTCCGTCTGCCCGTCTGTCTGTCGGTGTGCTGGTCAATCTACACGATCAACACGCATTCCAAGCTACCGGTCACCCAGACCATTATTGACAACAAGCCATTACATCTCCACCAGACGTATTCATGCGCACGGCTTTACATGGCAGCCCGGCTAACTACGAGTCCAGCTCACACACCGCCGGCGTAAGACGATAACTCCGCAATGAGACACGTATGTTTTATAGAACAAGCAAAGTCGATCGCCCGATGTGTTGACCGAACATATTACGGAACTAGCAATGGCCGGTCTCCTACACATTAGAAAACCTCAATGATAAAACGATTTCTGTGCTAAGTAAATACTATAATGCACAGTATGGCAGGCTGATTATTATTCGGGTGTTTACATAAGCCAGGTTCACGGTGACACGACATGCACGAGGACAGGTTCCGGAATATTCCTGGAACTATCCTGGAAACAATGTTTGTACTTAAGGGGCGCCTGGCTTGGGGATAGCCTAGTGGATAAAACGTCCGCTCGTCGCGCCGATTACTGAGGTTCGATCCCCAAAATGGGTACAATTCTTGGTTTTTTCCCCCTTCCCCGTGACATGAAATATTCCTGGAACAGTTCTGGAAACTTCAACAATGTTTGTATATAAGGGGTGCCGGCTAGAGGTTGCTTAGTGGTTAAAGCGCTCGTTCGTCGCACCGAAGACTGAGGTTCGATTCCCACATGGGTAGTATTGGGCACAGTTCTTGTGCCCCTTCCCCCAAGGGACCAAGGACGTTGTCCATCTGACCGTGAAATCTTTACATGAAGTCCTTGTTCTTCCTGTAGACTCGTAAAGGACGTTGTCCATCTGACGGGGGAACTCTTTACATGAGGTCCTTGTTCTTCCTGTAGACTCTTAAAGGACGTTGTCCATCTGACGGGGAACTCTTTACATGAGGTCCATGTTCTTCCTGTAGACTCGTAAAGGACGTTGTCCATCTGACCGGGAATTCTTTACAGGAGGTCCTTGTTCTTCTTGTTGACTCGTAAAGGACGTTGTCCATCTGACGGGAAACGCTTTACAGGAGGTTCAGCTATTCCAGTGATACAATATAACTCAAATTTAACCAAAAACATAAGAGAGTTGGTTCAAGTATAATGAGTTGAATGTTGCATATTAAAATTTGTGAAGTGCTTCAATACACAAGGTCGATATACTTAGCGACCCATTAAGCCATAGGGTTCGCGGTCAGGTAAACAATGACACCGTACACCGTACAAGTACACCGAATTCAATACAAGTGTATTGAAGCACATATCTTCATGGGTCGTATAGGCTATATATATAAAAGACTAAAGAGTTCCCGGTCAGATGGACAACGTCCTTTAAGAGGTCTACAGGAAGAACATGGACCTCCTGTAAAGAGTTCCCCGTCAGATAGACAACGTCCTTTAAGAGGTCTACAGGAAGAACATGGACCTCCTGTAAAGTGTTTAGGATCAGATAGACACGGTCTACGTGTAGGAGAGCTCGGCGATAGCTGAATATGTTTATTTTAATTGTCCCTTTATGATGACATTACGCACGCAAGCATGTCTCGGTATCTGTTTCTTATAAAGTACCTCCATTCAGTAGAAGGGGTGTAGACGTGTTAGCGATAAGGGTAGAATTAGCCGAAAGAGTAGACATGATACTTATGTGGTAGCAACATTAGTAGTAGTAGTAGTAGTAGTAGTAGTAGTAGTAGTAGTAGTAGTAGTAGTTGTTGTGCTTTACAAGGTTTTGTACAGTCTGACGTGGTGTCGACACCACATGGCTCAGTATAGCTTCACCACTCGGTTCCATAGAGCTTCACCATTTGGTTCCATAGAGCGTCACCACATGGTTCCACAGAGCTTCACCTCTTGGTTCCATAGAGCGTCACCACATAGTTCCATATAGCTTCACCTCTCGGTTCCATAGAGCTTCACCTCTTGGTTCCATAGAGCTTCACCACATGGTTAGAGCTTCACCACATGGTTCCATAGAGCTTCACCACATGGTTCCATAGAACTTCATCTCTTGGTTCCATAGAGCTTCACCACATGGTTCCATAGAGCTTCACCACATGGTTCCATAGAGCTTCACCTCATTGTTCCATAGAGCTTCACCTCTTGGTTCCATAGAGCTTCACCTCTCGGTTCCATAGAGCTTCACCTCTTGGTTCAATAGAGCTTCACCTCTCGGTTCCATAGAGCTTCACCACATGGTTCCATAGAGCTTCACCTCTCGGTTCTATAGAGCTTCACCTCTTGGTTCTATAGAGCTTCACCCCCTGGCTCCATACAGATTCATCAAATGTTTTCGTACAGCTTCGCCACATGGCGTCATAATCTCTCCAAGCGGCTCCGTACAGCCTCATATGGCTCCATACAGCTTCACCACACGGCTCCGCACAGCCTCATATGGCTCCATACAGCTTCACATGGCACCACACATCTGCAACATTGACCTTCACGTACACCTCTGCCCTTGTCACTTCAACAAAATATGCCATGTCTCAGTTTCATTACGAGAATGAAAACCAACACCCACTTGAATAAGCACGCAAACTTAATAAAACAAAAATCAATACCTCGAATATTAAGAAAACACAAGTTACTCAAAATCTTTATAGTAACACTCAATGACCCCGACAGCTTAGCCACTGATGGATAGTCCATGATTTAAGGTGACACTTAGAGTTTATCTCGCCAGGCCTTCAAGAACCATTTCTTCACATTTATGGAGCCAAGGAAGCGTGCGCGACCAAGGACCTACAGTGTTAATGGACCAAGTAGATGCTTTATTTCCTATGATGAATGGTCCAAATGTTTTCAGCGCCATCGACCATAATGTAGTTTCCCGTTTCTGATATTCATGACTGAGCCTGAAAAAAAATCTCATTTTCGCAAAAATAATTTTCTCGCCAAAGCGTAATCTCCGGTCTGATATTTGAGAGGTCTGTGATCAGACAGGATTGCCCCGCGCCAACTGACATCACCATCCAGCTTAGAGCGTGCCCCCTCTTCAGACAAACGAGTTAAAAATTCAAATAACGAAATCGATTTTTGGTGGACCCCACTCCTAATGAAGACATCATGCAATCTAACCTGTTTTAAATGAGTTTTGGAAACCGATTCTTGAAACTAAGCACCTTGTGTTTCACTTGACCCATTAGTCATATTTCAAGATAATTTGCTACCTCGGAATGAAGTTAATAAGAACCGTGGAATATTAAGACTACAGATGGCCTGATTTATAAGCCGGTGATTTACAGTATGATCCCTTAAAGCGAAACCCCAGTTATCTGGACTTTAACACTGGAAGCAGGGCGCCTCGGTCATATTGTTTTTTGGGTAGACCTGTCCGCAGTGGTGGAATTCGGATAGTCTGGAGGTTAAAGCTCGTCACGCTTAAAGCCCGGGTTCGATTCCCTACACTGGTGTTCCCCGCCGTGATGTTGCTTGAATATACATTTTGCTAAAAGATACATAAAAGTGTCATCACTCACTGTCCGGATTAAGAAGGTTAAACAATATAAAGGATACAAATGCTGTGACTGTGTTGAGACAAGCAGGCAGATGCTATGTCAGACATGGTGGCTCGGTGCTATGTTTGTGTGTTGTTTTATGCCGCATTACTCCAGCTGTATATTAACCTACGGCGGTCTATATGTAACTGAATCTGGACCGGACAATCCAGTGATTGATACGCTGTTACTCTGACACACAATAAACAAAGTAACCCAACTTGGCCACAAGATTATCTGAGTGGCTTCGTAGGCCAGGTGTAGGCGGCTTGGCATCAGTTCACAACCGGGAACCGAAGAGGTGTTGCTATGGCTGAGAAGAGCTTCTGGTACAAGAATAGCATTAAGGACTGGCAAAATAACACCGTCCTCAACAGATAATTACCAGAAACCGGGCAAAAGATGTTCACTTGAAAGCTGAATTTGATCAAACAATTACAATCGTTACCAAAACGATGCTTGGCAGAAGATTGTCGCGGATACACTGGAAGCTTGAGGTGCAGAACACAACCATGATAGTTACCAATACATGGCCTTCGATTAACTACCTTTTGTTTGTTTTATTTCCATCCAT